GATGGAGTCTGGCCAGTCCGGACGGAGGCTTCAAGGCCCATTGAGTACCCAACTAAACAGTATCAAGCAGTGATTGTCTCCTTTACGAAGTTTACAGGCATCACCCTCTGCCCTCAGACGGAGAGACCACTCCGATGTGGCGTCGGCGGGGACAGTTATCTCCTTCAACAGTTTAGCCTACCCTTATTGTTTGGCTGACGCAGACGCGGAGACGGAAAATCCGCTACTTCGGATTAACGCAGAATTTATGCAGGGTTTCAATATCCCTCATCCCGCCTCCGCGGGTACTGTACATACATAGCAGGTCAAGCGGACTGCAGTCTGGATTTTGACCCAGCAGCTACTGGGTCATGCATGCTTTTAACAGATAAGTGAGACTTAAACGATGGATCCATATACTTACAGACGATGAAGGACCACACTTAGTGCGTAAAAGGTTAACGAGAGCGGAAATTTTCTTATCTGTAGGGAATCTTTCTGATGATCGGATTTGCATTGATACAGGGAGTGCGTAGTTCGCCAGAATGTGACCTTATATCGTAGGGTCTTCGCTCTCGTATTAAAAAGATTGTTAAAGTGAAACGGCGGATGGGAAAGCGTTTTGCAAAACTGCCTTTCGATGACAATGATGATATTTAGACCGACATTGTGATGTAGTCGGATGTTGTCCACCATGCTTGGGCGGTAGTGATAATTCCGAACTCCAAGTGTCTAACTGGACTTGGTTTGTAGCTTGTTGACCCTTATTTCTCTTTGCTTTTCATGATTGACGTAGGGAGGTCGGAGGAGGATGATCTTGTCGGGTGAGAATCTGTGACTAGTCGGCCGTAGAGGTACAGCACCCAGGTTTAAACGCCGGGCCATGCCACTTCCAGTTCATTTATTATATTGCACATAAAATGCTTATTAAAGTACCTACGTGTTTGATTTAAAGAACGTATGTAGTGTCCAAGCATGGTGAATAGTTTGTCATCAATCCACAAAACACCACTTGTTCAGTGTATCCGCGAAGTTTTTCCAGTATGGCAAATCTAAAGAGTGAAACAACTTAAGTTTCTCCTTGAATTTATCTTTCTTACCTGGCCAGATTTTCTTATAATACCCTAAGTCCTTGTGTGATAAACTGTGATTGAATAACTGATACTTTATGTGATCGAACGTACAAATGTGTTTGCTCTCCTTATAAGTGAGGATGCCGCTCTCCACGAAAAGCCAATAAATTGCCAAAAACGTTGCCCAGTATCCCGGTCTGTACGTCTGGGAGTAACTGCAACCAGATGGATTCTGTTCGAGGTGGCATTTGGTCATGCCGATGTAGTCATCAAATGTCTTGCCGGTCAACCACATCTCACGCATCGTCGCAAGAACATAATATTCTGAGTTCTTCTGAATTTGTTCCCAAGGAACCATCGCAGTACTCCTGGAGGTCTAAATCGTGTTCTGTATTGATGGCACTATAATATTGATATAGCTGTAGTCGAGGTTCGATAACGTAAGTACATTGGAAGGAGATAGCTATGGTTTACTTATATACATGCTAGCGCGAAAGATTTATAAAGCATTCTAGACAAAAAGAAACAACCCCGCCGCTGTTTGACAACACAGGGGGTCGAGATTGACCCTTCAAAACTCCCCCATTGACGGTTGATGGCAAAAAGATGGTTCACTGCCCCCCCCCACCACAGGGAGAGCTGACAGCTACTTCCATACAGAGATTTGAACTTGGGTTGGCGGCGTTCTCACAGGGCCTCTCCAATACAAATCACAGCCATCATACCATTGAGCTACCCCCTTATCGCCGATGTTACATAGTAGATTTAAAAAACATAAACTAACGATTAAGTTGTGCAACGCTGCCACGACACCACACTCTCTGTCAGCTCCAGAAATACCGCCACCTGCTCTGTGCGCACTCTGCTCTCGCCATAGAACCGCGATGTTCCATGCCAAATTTTACAGCGTCGTCACCTCCTCCAAAACATCACCGCTCAACTACGCCCCATCCGATCAACACAACACTCAAGTTTCAACCGTCGGCCCTCGAAAACCCCACCTACGCAATTTCCTTCACGAATCACCATCACCATCGCGTGCCACAGCATCCATACCAACTAAAACTCGTCTCCCAGTTGGTTTACGAATCAATATTCAAACAAAACAGATCTTATCGATTAAATTATCGACATTACAGTAATGACAGTTCAGTATAAGTTACGACTCATCGGTCGTCAAGCGGCTACTAGGCTGGGACATGTAGATCGACAAGCCGAGTGACACTTCTGTGATTACACACCTGTTGATCCCATGAGGCGCGTGCACTGATAACATAACGGAGCCAAGCCCAGATATAGATAATCAAATGACGGGAGAGATTGCATCAAAGTGATTAAGCCATGAAGATATCTCACGCTGAGAATCGCCTGGACACGTTCGCCGGACCCAATTGGTGACGCAGTAGAATCTGCCTTACAATGCTCGAGAAACTAGATCGGAATCCCAAATAGCTGTGAAAATTGACGTTTCTCGCAGTAGTGATCATTTAATATCGTTTGGCAAGCAAACTACTGTTAGCTATAGCTAGAGAAACGTCGATGAAGAAAATAAGTACTTATTCGCTGGCATTTCAAATTCCTTTTGTGAGCGCCGTTTTATCTCCAAGATTTTAGTTTAGAATGATGTCAGTGTTGAAGATCCAAGACCCGCGAATTGCTGCTGAACTTCTCCCGCTTCTACCCACTCCCCGTACACTGATCGATGCCCCAGATGACCACCAAGCGAATATCTAAATTGCAAAACTTCTCGGCTAATTACAGTTATCTCGGTTTCAAATTATCTTCAGACGATTGTAACAGCTTAAGATTCGTTGCCCTCGTAGCAGACGATCTCATCATGATGAACTTATCTTCCGGTCTCTAGGAAGCTGATAAGTTGTGTTGGAAACGTCACAGGATCATAGTGAAAGAGCCACGACGAACATGAGGGGATACAGATTTCCTTTATATTGTAATGCAATGTGAGAACAGGACCAAACGCCAAGATGGCCAGTCTCAGCTCTCCGTAGAATCGTGGCCTTTGACGACGTACGAATGTTCCGCGCATCTATCCAACCAGATTAACGGATTGACACACACGTTTTACTGATTACAGAGCGATGTTTAATCTTTACCGAATCCCAATAATTTCCGTGGGCAGAGTTTAATACGCGAGAAGAGAAGAAATGACGTTCAGAAAGTAATCAGTTTATCGTGGTCTCCTGCTATTTGGAAGATCCTGTTGTGAACTCGGAAGGTGGTTGCGGCGTCCGTGTGCGGTGAACAACCGGTGTGAAATGACGATCGCCTAGTGGAAACTAATACCCGGTAGTTTGACGGGAGCTGTAGACACTTATGCCACATCTAGTAATAGCGTGATTAAATTTCCCGGCCGCTAGTGTATTTATCGGCAGTGGTTCTTGAATATCACGAGTTAACAACGACCTCGTTTTGGATCTGCAATTGTTTGTTGTGATTATGTGAAACTGCGTTGAAGATCTCAACGCCAAAATCTGTGTACCCCTATCTTATACCTCTGAGCCACGATGAATAGAAGGTCCTTGACACGATGAAGAAGGCGTTAATGGTTATCCGGTAACTTTGCCGTCGACACTGACAGTCAAATTCGCTGCTGCCGTAGCAAATGATATCATAACTGATCACCATCCATCGCTGTCGCCGAAGTAAGTACCCACAATTTCTCTCCTGCTCCCTGAGCGTCGCGCCATTGCTCTCGAGTTTCGTATCACGAGCTTCTACCTGATCTTTAGTCGAGGAGTTACCTAGATCAGCCCGTGATCATGTCCAAACAAGGTTATGCCTCGTGAATATCTATGCAGGAGTAAGGTAGCAATAACATTTGTCGTGGTTTGCGTCAGATTGCGGATGGGCCATATATAAAGATATACCGAGTAAGGCCCCGTGAAAAGAATCAAGCAGCAACAGTTCAACAGTCGTTACACTTTTTCAATAATTTTACCTCACATACCATCCACGTTCTTTTTCAAAATGCAGTTCCGTGTTCTTGTTTCCCTCGCTCTTGCTTCCGCTGTTTTTGCTGCACCCATTGGTAGGTCTTCAGTTATTCCGTGACCGAAGATGTTTATGTTAACAGTGATTTTAGCCCAAACCAGATTGCCGATTGACTACGCCGCTGGAGCTCTCCCCGTCGGTGACGCTACCGCTGTCGTCGCTGGCACTCCCGCTGGTCCTTTGCTCGCCAAGCTCCCGGTGCCCCCTGCGCCCGGTGCCGGAGCTCTCCCTGTCCCCGCCGGCATTCTCCCGATTCCTTCCGGAGGTGCTCTCCCTGTTCCTTCCGGTGGAGCTCTCCCGATCCCCGCTGGAGGACTTCCTATCCCCGCTGGTGCTCTCCCCGCCCCCGCCGGAGGACATTCTGTTAAGCGCCAGGCGCTTCCGATTCCTGGAGCGCCTGCTCCTCCCGGACCTGAGGCCGTAACCGGAGTTGTCGACAAGGTCAAGTCCTCGCTCCCCGCTCCTCCTGCGCTTCCTGCTGGTGTTCTCCCTCCCGGAGCCGCCGTTCCAAGTGGTCTCCCCGCTCCTCTCCAGGACGGAGCCGCTAAGGTCTCCAGTGTTGTCGGACAGGTTCTCGCTGATGGTCAATCCGCTGGTGCCGCCGCGCCTGCTGCTCCCGCTCCTGCTGGAGACTTGGTCAACACTGTTGCTACCACCGCTGGAAAGATCGTTCCTGCTGGTGTTGTGAAGGTTGCTCCCGGCCACGAGGACCTCGTCGGTGACGCTCCCTCCAACTAAGGGGTTCACTGGATATGTAAAGATGATGGAAACGGTGTTTGGGTGAAGTTTATGGTTATTTAATGTAATATACGGTGCTTTATGTAAATCTTTGCTGCATACTGATGGAATTTTGATAAAAAAAGTTGAATATTATTTTGCGCGCGCGGGTGTGTGTAAATGCATGAATAAAAAGAAGTGACCGGACTGGAGCAAAAATGATCGCAGCAGGGCTTGAACCTGCGACCTTTTCGGATTCAGCTAATGTAAACGAAACGTGATAACCACTACACCATGCGACCATATGTTAACACAGAGTTCAAAAAATATAACTTAATTTAAGTTAAGGTATTATATGATGGTTCAAAATCCCATCAAGATTTGGGACGGCTTCCAAGTGACTCCATCCCCGTTTTCTCTTCCTGCACAAAGAAGACCGGCTTGATCAATCATTTAGCAAATGTAGAGATAGCTAAACTTGTACAGTAATTTCGTCTATCGTGTCAGCGGAGGATCGATTACATAGATAGCCATGCATCGCGGGTCTTGTCCATGACGGAAGAAATCAAACCTTGAGGGAGCGGGCGAGATGTATAGATAGGTTTGACTGAGCGGAAGGAAGAAAAATACAGTTCACAAAAAATGGACACTAGAAAATAACCTGGTCTTTAAAAACTAGTTTGCTGTGGACTTCGCTGCGATGAAAGTTTGTATTTGGCCACGAACCACGCATCGTGGTCGTTAGAGTAGAATAAAATCTCGGCTAGAGCCAGGTCCCAACCGATTCCCAAAGGATTTGGTAAGCGAGTCATTTATTTACTCGGTGTTTGGAATTATCTCTTATAAAGTAAACGGAATGGTTTGAAAATAGTGAGAAATAACTGTCTTGAGCGAGTGAAGGTGACGTGTGTTTGAGGCGCTAAATGAGGAAGTGCATCCGGCGCGAACCACGAGCTCGACAGACCGTTGCGACCACCGCGCCGACCAACTGCATCCAGCAACACGACTTCCCCGCTTCCTTCGCAACTCAACATCAACAAACACCCGCGTCACCAGCTTTTAATAAATAATCGCGATTCCTTCGAAGCCGAATTTGATACTGATCTGTTAACACTTTTGCTGCATACAAGTTCTTCGGGTGTTCTCTACAGTCCACACATTCGACCCGCACGCGCCTCAGCAAGTTCAGCACAGTCCTCCAAACCAACGCCCCCACGCTTTTCTATCGCAATCCGGTACATAAACATCCACAGGCGATCTACCGAACGACAGCCTCTCCAGCTATACTTTCCGACTCCCATTTACCATTTCCTTTATGAGAGCTTGCTGCAGCCTCGTTACCGTCGTCGCGACGACGGCACGATGTTGAAGAGATTCTTGACTACAGATTGTGTCCGGCTGCTTTTACGAAGTATTCTACAGTTTTTCCATCCTTTATTATCCTACAAATCCCATTGGTCCTTCATCAGTAGGTCTTCGGTTTACAGCGAAGTTGTTTGCCATCCCAACTTGCCATTCCTGGGACCGGGTTTTCAGCTATTCGCGGATTGCAGCCACTGCTATTCCCAGTTTTCTATAAGCTGCTGGAATTGAATTCTCTACCACACTGAGGCTGCTGTACCTGTTGGAGCTTACACACACGCTGTTCTAGGAAGCATCAACGGAGGGAATCAACCTGTTTGAAAGCTTCCTTGTCACCTGAAGATGCATTCTCCTGTTATCCAACGTCTGTCGCACCTGACCCTAGCTATCACAATTACTGGCATGAACACTTGCCTCGTAATCTTCTGGACAAGGTGTCGGTTCTCCGCTTCGCCCAGGTATCGCTGCTTCAAAGACTCTGGTTTTATCGTTGTACCGTTATCAACGCTGGTGCTTATCCATCCTCTGAGCTCTCCGTGCCAGGATTTTCGCATCCTTTCCCTGACTTGACTCTTGAGCGGTTTCGGTTACTCTACATGGCCAATGACTTAACGCACGTTGGGAATGTCAGATTGTCTGGGCTATCTCTATAGGCGTCGACTCGGCGCTCTAGCCATTGAAATCCAGATTTACTGGAAATACTCCGGTCTCAGGGCCATTTGTAGAGAGAGCCTTTTTACGAAGCTTAGAACACTGTGCACATCGTCACGTACTAAGAATGAGCGGGAGTCATGGATGAAGAGGTAGAAATGCTTAGATAGTTAAACTCGTAAATGGTAACAAGACAGTGACTCGTGATAAGCAAAGCTACGGCTAAACCGTTGTTACATAAGCGTCGTGAAAGCTCGTAAGTAGTAATGAAGACTGAAATTGGCATTCTGAGAGTAGGGAATTGTAAGCATCACGATGTGTAACATGCAAAAACCGCGGGTCGGAACGTGGAAAGTAAGATGCGAGCACTTTACGATGATAGTAATCTTATAGATGTAAAAATAGATGTTAATTTGATACCTGATGGGGAAGAAGACTAGGAGATATCACGGCCAGCGGTTGATAAGGTGTGTAGGTACAGTGCTGACGGGCGGGTGATTCCTCGTGACTAGTTGAGACAGACATACCAAATAACAGGAAGTAATGGATAAAGATTGACCGTGCTTAATATTTGTATGTATTTATTACCTGCGGGTCTTGATATTGTGTCCGAAGTTCAATGCCGCTAGGACTTCTGGGTGGTTTAACTTATTTGAAAACGAGGTGGAAGCTGTGACATCAAGTGCAACATGCCTCATGACGCGTGCGTGACCTATAACATTTAAGCAGCGTTCGACCGCTGGCAAAACTCAGATAATAGCCGAAGGACATTGCATAGTTTGACCGGGAAACAAGAAAGAAGGAGTTTAATTAAGTTGATGTATGTTGCTTGCATCCGGTCCGTGAAGTATTTGTTTAAACTGCATGAGTATTGTGCGTTACTGCGTGTTGGTCATGACTGGTTTGATTGAGGGCATAGTCCGCCGGCGAAAGATTGACATTTGTGACAATACCGTAATCACTGGCGCAGACACTGTGTGAATAGTAGAGTACGTGGTTATGTTAGGCGTGAGATCGAGCGATCGCAGTCTGCATATTCATAAAAATCTCACCCACATCTTGAACCGCGAGTTCCATACTCCACCCACCGATGTAGTTGTAGTCACCCGTAACGTCCACCATGCCGTCGCGACAACCGAAGAACGCTTCGCTAACGGTATTCGCGGCCGCGTAATGTCTAAGACATATTCATACCACAACATCTCACCTCCTACGCGGTCATCGAGGTCAGAAGTCAGGTCAAGGACACTCACCCGCGGCACATCCTCCCATATCTTCACCACCCGCGCCGCAATCTACGCAATCACCGCTAAGAGTACCCGCAACACATACCCACCACAATCTCGACAAGCAGCGATGTCAGCCTCCCAGTCAAAACAATCCTGGTTCCCACGAAGCACGTTAAGTTCTACCCGACAGTTCTGTCTCTGTTTTGACCGATAACTGACACAGGCGACGTAACCAATTCACCTTCGCCAATCAATGCGGCGTAAGGAGCTTGAAGTTACGACACATTGACTACGTAATTCCATTGGCCCTGGGAAGCGACGAGTGAGTCATTCGGTTGAAACAGTATCATGAGCGGCACGGCGGACGGCGCAGGGACTTCGGCTTACTCTGCACCTGAAGCAGGAACACACCCGCGTATTCGGATTGGATGACGATTTGTTTCCCCGGTTCATCTACGTAATTAATTGTTTTAGGGACTGTCACAACTGCCACAGAGATACGGCGGAAAAGCACAGCATTCGCCAGTTTTGCTAACTATGGGTCGAAACAGCGGGAAATAGCGGCCAAACTACAGCGGGTCACAGGGAAAATGACAGTCGAGAGTCAGTGAAGCGGTGTGTGAAGAACAATGTAGCTTCGTAAGCTGCGGCTGGTGTATTGCATACCGTATCCACAGTGTCCAGCTGATTGAGTTCGATGCTTTTAGAGACGAAATGGAAAAAGAAAGTATAAGTAACACTCAGTCCTCTCGTCCAATGTAGATCGTTCGTCCTCTTCAGCCTTGTCAGTCCACTCTTCTGGTATGATGTCCCGCAGTATCCTTTCCGGATTTTGGAAATTGACAGCTAACTGTTCTTGCTCACAGGAACAACATGACCTCAAGGTCACCATTTTGGCTGTTGACCATTGATATCCAGAGATGATGGTTATATACGGAATACACAGATCTATAACATTGATGTCTCAGGCATGTGATAAGCTGTGACATCACTGTCAAATCAAAATCTGCCATTCATTGACTCAACAAGTCTCAGCTGAAATTGTCTCTCAAAAATGAAAAGACATGAGTTCACTTCTGCTTGGAAGGCAGTAAAAACCACTGTCATCCTTGAAGTCTTCAAATCCTGGGATTAGACAACAATGTTACCATATGAGAAAGAAGTACAAGAAGAGTTCTTGATTGGATGACAGAATACAAGAGAGTGACCCCAGGCTGCAGTCAGTGGTAATGTCATGCCCCTCCTAGAAGACACATTAAGAGAATGGGGATTCTCACAAATAATGACTCAAGTCATAGGACAAGAGCCATTACAGGCCACCCTTCATCCACTTCCCACAGGAAGTAGGATAACATTGGGCTAGGAAAAAAGAATAGTTAGTTATATAAGGTGTTACCCTCTGATATTGTTAGGCTGCTTGTGCCTGTCACAGGAGACACTCCTGATCATCAGTAACTGACTAAGCAAAACCTGGAATACCAAGAACCTTGGGCCCTGACTCTGGAACATCTCAGTGGCATATATAAGAAAGGGGCAGACTATGTCACAGCCCCTTCCCAACAGTCAGTGTTGCACTGCATTTCTCAGTTCAAAGGTTACCTGTCATTGCCATGACAATGATGGTTCCTGTAGCAACAATGGTTCCCCTGGCAATGGTAGTTCCCTAGCAACCAGGGTTGCCATAGAAACCAATCTAACTACTAGTGTGTTTGTTTCCTTGGCATGATGCCATGGTGGCAAAAGGATCATGACATCATTTGATGGCAAGAGAGATATCTAGCATTTTCTATATATTTCTATTAGGGCTGAGGGTTAGCATCAATGGCAAACAAAAGGGATAGCACCAAAGTCACCTGGAAATCACCAGATTATCAAGTGGATTATTGTTTAGCACACTCAATATACCTTACTGCAATATTTTCAGATCAGGCCCTCTCCTTTTTAGTGTGTTCCATGGTGAAAAAGAGATCCCTGGGCCCCTGAAAAAGTCCAATGGCATGGTCATCAACACCCCACCCAACAACTACTAAAAATCATCAATTTTCTGGTGGAATCTTTGT